AATTGGCCGTACGTATATATATAATGTAGCTCATTGAAAAGGTGTATTTGGTTTTTCCAATTTTTAAAGGAATTAATTAATTTTGATGTACATATTTATTTTAGTTGTAGCATGCACTGAAGTTATATCCGTACTCTTCACTATTTAGGTTGTAGTATGTAGCATGTACTTACTATTACTTCACCACTTACAGTCGATCCGTGATCAAGATGTTTGTGACACCGTCGAAACAATAAAGTAGGGCTCAAAAGAACTGGTATCCGGAGCCGTAAAATATAATATATAAAAAATGGAACTTCATAAATAATATTATCATAGTAAATATCCCCTTTACATAATTATTCGTGGCTTTTCAATTCGTGTAGAATTGAAAAGAGCCACGGAAAAATGTAAAGCTGTGTTTCCGTCAGTATAAATATATATATTTATTTATTTCATTTTATTTTTTGGTCAAAGTTTATTCATTGGATGGTAGTCTGGGTTAATTTGTTTATAAAATGCTTAATTTGATTAATCATTGAAACAAAATAAACTTCATAAGTGTGAGCACTTTTCAATAGTTTTATTTTAAATTCTACCAATCATTTTGAAAGCAGATTTAGCACCAAAATAATAAGAATAAGCAAGACTTACTCCTTGCTATTTTAGGCAAATGTTGTTCAAAATTTTCGTAGATTTTGTGTGAATACAAATTGTCATATAACAAAATTCTGAACAGTAAATAAATAGTTATTTGAGTAACAAAATACTTCAGTCATAGTTATCAGAGCAAGGCGATTTGCTAAACTGCTAGACCACCCGGTCCATCCTGTGTATGTATGTTAACAGTAATTTTCCGCGTGTGTCTATATAATCAATAACATTGATTAATTGTTATTATATGACAAGCTTCACAAATTTGATAAACAACAAGAACTAATTGCTCATGATTAATTTTTGTTATTACTAAAATTATATAACATGTCATAAAATATAATTAATCAATGTTATTTATCAAGAACGCTACTTAATGTTTTATACCTGGCCAAATATTATTGAAATCGCAAGACTGATGACTAGTACCTACTGATATTGGGTAATTATTTAACTAGTATTTTCTTTTAATATTTTTTATGTAGAAAGATGAATATTAAAAAATAGACTTCATATGGAGTTTTTGGATTTATTGCCAATTATTTATCCCTCTTTGAATATACTTAAGGTAAAGACAAATAACCTCAGGCTGAGATAAAAATACGTAGACCAGTATAGAGGAAATAAAGGTTTTCAAAACTGCATTAGTAACTTACCCACTTATAAAATAATATATTTATTTGTAAGTAACAAAAGTGTCTGGACAATCGGGATAATCCTCCCATACATTTCCACCACTGTTACTCGTATAAGCCAGGATCTAACAAAATAAAAGATATAAATAACATTCTGCGTGTTTTATTTAGACATTTTATTTACAAATAAGAGTATTTTTAACCTGCCTTGCTTTGAAGACACAGATGTTATTCAATGAATTTAAATTAAAATATAGATTATAATATAAATCTAATAATAATATGTTAGGTCCTCATAAAACGTAATAAATAACTAGGCCATATTTCGAATACGAAAATATAAAGACTTAAACATTAATTTCATGTATCATAAAAAAAAGTTTTGGCAAGGTAACGGTACAACACTGTTTATTAATATTTTCGTTTCGAATTAAAAATGCTTATCATTACATTTTTTTTTTCATAAAACATTTACACAACTTACGGGTATGCAATAATTGAGAGTATATTTTAAAATAATTCATATTTGAAACCTACTCTGCGATCCCGAAATAGCAATTTACTATATTTAATTTAATTTAAAAGTAATACTGAAATATTATATAGCTTAAATAATTAATTAAGAAGTATTTAAATATTTGTATCCATCTGTAACTGCTTATTTTAATATAATGATACGGTATTGTCTAATAAATATTGATGCTGTTAGGCTAAATATATAAATTAAGAGTCCTAGGTAAAGTCAATCCAAGCTCCGGTTTACGTCTAATTCTATATCACTTTTTTATGTTATAACATATATTAGAAACAGTTAATTTTTTTTTATTTTAATACGTTCCTCCAATGATGTTACATTATACATAAGTCATCATGTCAGTTTAGATGTGCTAAAACCCTAAATATAATTAAGGTAATTACCGTAAGTATAACCAATTTAATGGTTAAAATTGTAGAAAATTGTCATATCATTTCGTATTTCCATGAAAAGTATATTTATATTTCATCCCACAAATAAATGAATACATCACATACACTGATAAATGAACACAGAAATCACGTTTGATAGGGAAAAATGGTAAAGGAAAACATTTTGCATCGACCCCAAATAATGGTATGAGGTCAGGGTCATATTATACATTGAAAAATATTACATTGATAGATCTTTTTATTACATGCTTTGTAGTAAGAATTACAGAGTACATCTGAGATATAAACGGTTAGTCTGAAGTCATTTTTCAGTCTCTTCATATTTTTATGTACTCATTTGATATTCTGATACTCGAATACAGTTGCGAGTGATTGTTATTTTGTTTTTTCCTGTTTTATTTGACTTTGAATGAGAGCATGATACTGACTTATGGAAAGGTAATCGTTACATAATTAAAATATAGTCCTACATATTTTAATTATGTAACGATTACCTTTCCATAAGTCAGTGTATTTCACTGTAAGAGCCATGGTACTTTATAGCTTGACGCCTTGATTTTCGGGAGGACTAAGATATATATGTCTCAGCATGTAGTAATTTCACAAATATGTATATGTAACATATAATAGTGAAATTACTACAGGCTGAGACTATATATGATATATATAATCAATGATAAGTTACTTGGCATCCACTTAGAATTATGAATTTGCCATTTAACTATCTATATATTATTATTTATAATTTACCTGTACCATATAAATCTAGATCGATTTGGATGAAGTTTTGTGTGTATATTTCAGTGGATTTTTGAATGGTTTGAAAATACAATCGGATCCAGTAGGTGACGCTATTGTTCAGGGGAGTTCTCGGCAGACGTCTCTGCCTGGTCCTCTGTATAATAAACAAAGTAACTATAATCCAGCTACATTCTTATTAGATAACTTTGTCATATTACTTTGATATGTATCTACTAATAATAACATGATATAAATATTTTATGTGATCTAGCTGTCATTCATAACATAATATTACATTACTTACGTCTGCGAGATATCGCTCGTCACATGTCTGGACGTATCATGTGACGAATTAGCATTTCAACAAGTCCAACCACTTATAGTTGCGGTTGTTATTTTGTACTAAAAGGATGAGCATGTTAATGATTGGTTACTAATTCTACTGGAATCTGTGCTGAGTGCATAGAATTTAATAGTGAAATGTGTAATATTATCGAGACAATCATAACTGGTGCAATAAACAACGAAACTTATGCTGTAGCACAATGCCTACATGCTTCTAATATATCCGACAATGATATAAAGCTAGTTTTAATAGTAGTTTAAGTATCTGATATAAATTGTATACTAATACTATACAATACTTTTTTTATTATAAATTGTAACTAGGTATCTATTTTCTTTTGATGGTCTCGAGGGTCTAGTGATTAAGCATAACTTTTTACTTTAGGTGGTAGCAGGTTCAATTCCTTGCATGATGCAAGCATTTATATTTTTATGCATATTATACCAGGCGAGTACCTGTCCATAATACAAACTCCTCTTATCTTGGGAGTAGTTGGGGGTGTGTATTATGAATGAATTTATATGGATTGTGAATGAATTTATATTATTGGTTATATTATTATTTGTCTTCATAGAATTTATAGTATACTAGCTATATCCTACGACTTAGTTTGCAGGTTTTTTTGAGATAAAAGATAGCCTATGTCTGTTCTCACAATTTAATCTTGTTTAATATAAAATTTCATTCGTTTTCTTTCAACCGTTTAGTCATAGAAAGCTAAAGATCAAACAAACAGACAGACATATTTTCGTAAACCTTAATATTGGTATGGATATACAACTATACAATTTATTTATATTTTTATTACCTTATTATAATTTACCTACAACAATTTATTTATATTATTTACAAAACATCAATAGGCTAGCCATATTAAATAATAGTGTCCAGTCTTTATAAAAGTTTATCTACTGTATCCCTTGTCAATTAAAGCTATGAATGTTGTATAAATAAAACATTCTGTACGTAATCACTCACCATGTTCCTGTAGATCAACCGTTGCTTTGGGCGCAGGTGCCTAACTTCTTTGGACTGGTAAAAAAGGAATAGAGAATACAGGACACAATCACACGTATCTGATATTGCATAAGAATATATTTATGTAAACCATACTGTAAATATTCTATAATTCTCTATTTATTTTTTTCAATTTTGAACCAGTGTCTAAATTAAGAAGAAATTAATAATAGCATTAGAATTGATAATTTACCTAATATATGTAAAATATGGCAATTTGAGGTTTTTTGAGGAACTTCATTAATATATGCTGACCACAATCATAAGTAATATATTATGAGTCCTAGCAGTATCCTACCCCATGCTCGTGAGATCGAGAGTTCAAATCTAGCCGACAAACAAAAGCAAAAGCTATGAGTAGCTATAGTTCAACTGAAAACGACTAACAATAAACTGGCACTGTTGCTTTGCTCAACGGACTGTCAAGAGTTTCTTGTTACATTCAATAGGGTTTATTCCCGCCGGTTTCATATAAGTATCAGGTATAGTAGACAGGAAATGTCGGTTCGAAACAAAATATTAGTCTATGTTATATAGGTATGTTAAAATAATAATTATATTTTGCCTATGTACACCCATTTATTATTATTTTATATATAAAAAGTAACTATTATTACCTACTCTATGTATTCAGTTTAGGAGAATTATTAAAACAACATCGAAAAGATAATTGTAACAATATATTTTTGTACAAAGTAGCATTATAATGTGGCAATAGGCACCACTATGAGTGCGAGTGACAAACTCGTACGGAATGCTGCGCTGCGTTTTAGCGCCTCTAGTTCACTCACGTCAGGGGTTTCATCCGAGTCAATCTCGTTGTATTGCATCTCCTCGAATTTTCCCGACAATGCTGAAACAAGATACTCGTTGTGAAATGCTGGCAGTTACCCAGTAGGTATTGTCGAAAGTATCAAGTTACACGGTACAGCCATTAACTTGCTGCGTAAAAGGTCAGAAATAGGTATTCCTTATGTTTCGTTTTATAAACTCTCTTAACCATTTGCGAAATCCTACACCGGGAAACGGTTTCTGAATCGATTTTCTTCTATAGTTACTTCGAACACTACTTATTGCCTACACTAGTAAATTGTACATTGCTAAGGGTACTAAAATACCTACTTTATAACATTCTTGCAAATCGTAGACTCGTATGGTAAAGTAGAAAAAACGAATTAACTGGTTTACGCGTGTAATGCAATTTCATGATTTTGCATATTTATACCATTATAATCCAATAACGTATAATAACTAGATATGAGTCACTACTCATGAGCAGATCATAATGACCTACTATTATCATACTGGCCAAATGGCTTGGTATTGTTTTATTTCGAGTTTTCTATCTCGCACTGAGACACATTTTTCTATAGTTAATTTATATAAATATTTAAGTCTTTTTAATATTATCTACTTATTAAAGTTTGGGAGTACTTTCGGTTGTATAACTAGATCTGGATATAAATTTTAATATAAATATAAATTTTAAAATAACATGCACCTTTAGATGTACAATTTCAAAGATTCGAAATTATGTGATACCGACGTATGTTTTCATTATTCATCAAATATGTACCTGAATTTGAACATTAAAACTCTTCAAATGCATCGAGACAAAAATTATACATAATAAATAATTAAATATATATTAAGTTTTAATTAGATACGATTATATCCATTCAAATATTTTGCCCCTATTTTGCATACTGCTTCTTCCGTTGAAAAAGAAAGCAAATACTGAAACATTGAAAATAGGTAATATTTTACACGCCATTTACTTCAGTGCTAGCTTTTATTTTCCGTTTTCATGCTATAAGAGTAATTAGCAAAGTACCTGTACATTGTACGACAACATTTTTTATTATTTTTTTGAATTTATTTTTCAGAATTAATAAAAAGATAATTATGTTATAAGGACATTGTTTAATAGTTTCTGTAATATTTTAAAGGAAAAAGTGGTAAATTTGGTCAACATAATATATCGTTATCTAATATATTTATTGTTCTTGTCTTTTATCAGTAAGGAGTTGTGAAATTATACAGTCTTGGATTTAAGAACATTTAAATAAGTTATACAAAAAGCGGATTATTATTACATTAAATATTTATTAAATATAGACAATATTTTAGTTAATCATAAAAAAAAGTGTAGTTTGTACTGAACTAACAATTCAATACTGAAGTAACAATGTGTTTATAAATCGCATGCGCTTGCCTCAAAGCCTTTGATTAGTGTAAACCCAACAGTAGGGACAATTCAAATAAAACAATCCAGTGGTAAATAAAGCCTCCAAAAAATTTCTAACATTTCATTTTTCCGAATCAGATGAGCATTTATTGAGTTATATTATATACCTTGAGAACTAGAATAGTAAAAAATAGTTTAATAAATATTGTATAATCTAAGCTCGTCTTCTGCTGAATCGAATTCAAATTCCATTATTCGGAATTTTACATTAATTAATATTTAAAAAATTCTATAGAAATAAAAATGAAAAGAAAATCTATGCTTAAATTACTACTACTCTATAATACTTACAATACAATTTGATGGTACCATCGGTGTCACCGAGAGAATTTTTCGATATACAGCTGTAGGTGCCGAAAGTTGTTCGGCCAACTTTCTTTATTTTTAGCTTCATGTCTACTTCGTAACCCCTTTCAATAGCTGCTATCTCGAACCTTTTGTCCGCTACATGAAAAGAACATAATTAAATATAAAATGAATTTTATCTTCATCACTATTTAACAAGTTTATTTATATATATAAACTTATACTCCAATTTCTATAATAAATATACTTTGGGCTATCTGGATGCACGGCAATATTAAGAAACACAGCGTAGTTAAGGAAGTTGCATGACATATACATTTTGTTGTCGTCGAAGTTAGTAAAGGATACCAGTAATAAGGATTACTATGTTGGTACATATTGTATTTAATGATGCCAAAATATTTGAGGCATTAATTATCGTTTGCTTAGCAATAAATTGATTTGGAATTTGGAAACAATAAAAATATATGCGGAACTTACACTGTGATATGATTTGATCATTTATCGTCCAATAATTAATAGATCTAGGAAAAGCTTCAGAATGACAATCGAGATGCACGGTGTCGCCCTCTTTCGCCCCAACAAGTTGGTTCTGTATAGTCATTATTGGGGGAACTGGAACAAAGGAAATCGTGGTTGAATAACGGCAGGAGATTTAATGTAATACCTTTAATAATACAAGTTTCCCTTCATTAACATGTAGAGGGGAATTTATGTCAACGTTGAAGTGGTTTGTTTGTAAAATATAGATAATTAATTGTTTCAATATTTCAAAATAATACAAAACTATTTTTAATTTTCCTAAGTATAATAATGTAATGAACTATTAACACACCCCAGCGTCGCTCGGGTGTTCGTAAATTATGTATAGTTATAATAATAATATCCCTAAAAAATCATTTTGCGCCCTCTAGTCCCAAGTCAAGCAGAACTTCTGTTGTAACTAATATAGATAATTGATATAAATACTTATTTTTTTTTAAATACATAGCAAATACCCAAACTGATACAAACAATAACATACTATTTGCACCGTGCGAAGAATCGAACCCGTGACCGTCGGAAGTAATGCAGAAATAAATGGTTTCTTCGTCAATTAATTATGAAATAAAAATTATACAATAATAATATAATACAACAATAATTTCAGCCTAGACATGGTACGAAAAAGTATCTGGATATTTAATAGCATGTTCACAGTAGCTATGTGTCTTCCCTGCTTACTTTGTGATAGTATTTAGAGGCAAAGATAAGGTAGAGTGGAAAATACTCACTCATTTTGAATAAGCTGACACAAGGACGCAGAATAAATTGTTTTGTATTGTTTTTATAATTTTTCTTATTGAATTAAGCAAACAAAGGAAATTAATTTATGTTTCCTATATATTATGCAATACACATAGAATGTTTAGTATATATACCTACACATTTCTTATAGAAATTATAATAATTTAACCTTTATCTATTCGTTTTATATGTTTGACCTGTCTGGATATAAAAATAGTTTAAGTATCTAATCTGTATCAGGATTATTTTCAATTGATTTTCTCTGCGATAGATTCATATTAAGTTAATTATAATTATTTATGTATAGACATAATAAACGCCGAGATAAATTGATTTCTGAAATGAGTCAAAAATAATTGCAATGTACGTGAAATTTTATTGTACAGAAAACACTTGAACTACGTAATTGGACGATGGACAACAAAGGAAATAATTGGAGGCTCAAATGAATAAATTATTGAATATAATTGGTGTTAGATACATGTTATTATACAATGTCTAGTGTTGCTTAAAAATTAACTAAATATCTATGTATAGATGTCTGATCGTCATACGACGGCGTAACGACTATTATAATTAAGTTAGAACTATAGTGTAGAGGACTTTATATTCCAAAATAAATTAGTATATGGTTGAATACTCGTAACTACCTATACCATTATTTATTGGAGAGGCCCACAATATTTTTTAATATCGTAAAAATTATTCTAATGAAGTTATGTTACAAAAATTTTAAATTATATTGAATTGTAAATTCTTCTGTAAAGCAGGCATGAATTTAAAATTTTATCATCAATATCATCAAAATTCGACATGTAGGAGATAGTGTTATAAATTTTGCACAGCATTACTGGTAAAAATATGAATTAATGATTTTAATTCTGACTTTAACTTTGATATTGTGATAGAAAGAAAGAATTGTTAGAGAGAGATAAAGAATAAACAAGAATATATGTTTAGCTGGATGTAAAAAGATGTACAAGTGGAGTAAAATAGTTAACTAAGATAAACTTAATATGGGTCGGTGAATTCTTGATACAGTGTACAGCGTGGCTGTAGTGAACTACAAGAGCGCTGGCACTACGTTAGCCCCAATATCAGATGTTATAGTGTGTTTATGTTTCTTGTTAATGTTTCGAGTATATAATAACTAAATATCGTTAGTCTTAAAGCAAAACAAAGAAAGACAGGGATAATATTCATAAATAATACCAAAGAAGTAAATTACATAATTTTATCATATGTTTTAAGACCTTCATTAATTTAATGTCAAAATTTGAATAATATTTTAGAATTCAACTATGTTTCTTTGTGTATGTGGTTTAGTTTACTGAGTATCAGAATATCTGCTAAGTAGCCTTTTTATGATTAACACTACATTAATGTTACTTTTAATGTACCATAAAAAGATTTCGTACACGTTCAGTATTATAATATCATGACTTCTACGTCTTACTTTCTTAATACGAATTGAAGAGTTTTGGCCTGGATATAGAGTAGAAGCGAGGTACGCCGCAATCTCTGACTTAATTACATAGCTTCTCTTAGTCATGACACTAATCGTCAGGTGTTTGTTAATTAGTTTGGCCTTTTCATAAAAACTGAATTACTGTTTCAGCATAAACGACAAGAAGCATTTGAAACGTAAGACAGTTACCTAAAAGTAATTTATTTAAGTAAGATTTATACAGTTTCCGACCAGTTGAAACATTTGCAAGATAAACTTTGAAGATAAAAAAACTTTTCGTACTTGTAAGTAGCTTTTGGGTTTGTAACTGGATGGATGCCAGAGATGGATATTTCTATAATATATTAAGTGCATCATTTCCGAATAATTTGAAATAGTCATATACTTTAAATAGTCAGTATACTTTAAATTTTAAATTCACATTATTTACAACTGTTTACATAGATAATATTAGTTAAAACACAACTTTAATGCTTGAAACGTAGTTATAAATGTCATAATATGTTTTTAAAATAAAAGTCGATACTACGTATGGCAGGGTTTATTGTTGCCCTTAACAAACCTGCTAAGCAGTAAATATGAACAATGATCATTGCTATATATAATTTTTATAATTTTAATGGTAGTCGTAATTGCTTAAGTCTATAATTAATAATTTTGAAAATTCTAACTTACTTTAGACGAGATTTGAATATGTCAAGAATCTCTAAGGATTAAAAAACTCTACAATGCTACACAGAAAAAGTCTTCCGCCGTTATCGTTAGTTAAAAGTTAAGTCAAAATATCTCAGCAACTCCTAATAATTACATAAGATTCTATAATATAGATAAACAAATAGATACTAAAATAATAATTAAGTCTTTACGTTAAATCTCTTTGAAAAATGTGAATAACTTTATATTAAAATCTCATAGTAGGTTTCTAGTACAGGGTTAATAGTAATTGGACTAGAAATTCGAGATTTGAATTAGAGTTAGTAATTAATATAAATTTGTAATAACATTACACAGTTTGGAGAGACTGAGAAGTTTACTTTGTAGAACTTAGGTACTAAAACGGTATCAAATAGTTCCTATATACTTGTTATACCTCAAATTCTAACGGTCTTATTACAAAAAATCTATTAAAACTCGGACGAAACGTGGTCTAAATGGTCGAGGTTTAAACCATTCCTAAAGTTAATACTTGGAATAAACCTAACATTATTACGAATCCAGATCTAACAGAGGACTACTTAGTACTACAGTTAAATCGTTCATTATGTATTCCATACAGAAATCAGTCACTCATGTCTGTCAGCGTACAATTACGTTCCGTTTTACCAGAAAACTGAAAAGATCAAAAATAATATTACTTCAAAGAAAAATGTATAAACTAAAAATAAATTTATTTATATTTATCTATGTCTTCATTATAACTATTTCATTAATATATAATATTTATTAATGTACTATTAGGCTGAAAATCAGTTTTAAATTACAAGTAGGAGTCCTATACGGAGAAAAGGAACGGCGAGATATTTTTATTGGATCGATTCGAATGGTGACTATTTCAAAGTCAAATGAGTGAAAAAATAACAAATAACGTCTTTTATATATTTTTATTGTCGTAAAATTTGCTTTAAATATTTTTAGTTAATATATTTTTAATTTAGTTAAAATATTTTTCCAAAAACTACAACTTACAATAGAATTTGTAAAATGGAGTTTGACTTTTTGCATTTAGACCACTGTTAAACTAGGGGCATCGCAGGTCTAACTTTAGACCATAGACGAATCACGATTTAGAGATAAACTTCATTTTGTAATAAGGAATACATTGGTGAATGGTTTATTACTAGTGCTAAACCAGGTTTATCTTTTTGTAATAAGGCCGTAAGGGTTTACATTATAGTTTCAGTCATAACGTAGAAAGAAAAGAAATTTCTTATGAATGTATGAATGTATATACACATACATAGCAAGGTCTATAATGTCTGTAACGAACGAGACCGAAATTGAGATTAGTTAGAGTGTATTCTGTGGTGTGGTCAGTTTATTTTATTTTGTTTGTTCTGGCAAAAGATTATTTTAAACTTTTTGTACAAAACATTAATATATCGATTTCTACGCAATATACCTACGTAGCTGATACGATGAGGTATGAGGTGGCTACATTTATAATGCTGGATGACTTGTGAGATTAATTCTGAGAAGGATACTAATTACATGTATGTTTAATTTAGTAAGTAATTTCCACACAGTAGGTAAATGCAACAAGCAGTAAAGTAACTTCATAGCGCTTGGAGCAACACGAGCGGCTTCGGCACAGAGGACTACATATACACATGTATATTGAGCACTGCCTGATAAGCTTTTACTCTGTCTATATGTAATATACTGGGGTTCCGTGTTTGTCTGCGTAGGAACGGTTGAGCCTGTTGATTCAAACGATTGAGCAAATAAATTGAAATCGGCGTTTAGACTATAGTATAAAATCATAAAAAAAATATTACATAAGAAATTCTAAGGTCCATTCAGTAGTTAAGTACGTTAGTACTTTGTTTATTTATTTACTGTATTGGTACGTTCATATATTTTATATTACTAGTAATGTAAGAAGCTAATTATGTATTTAATCACAATACTGGATGTATTGTGTTTAAATGCATGTATTATAATCGTGTGCATGTATTACATATATTTAGTATGTATTATAACCCGTAATTTTAACTTGTTAAACAAACGTAATATATCTTGTAATGTAAATGTAAAACCGATATCCATGTCCATAGATGAAGGTAAGTATGAGACGACTTAGTATTGTATGAGTTCACGGGTGCCGAGTCCATCGTGTGGCAGAGAGAGTAACTCCGAGTAGTTCCCGGGTCTTATGACACTCGCTCGTTCTCTCTTTCTGCCCAGCGTATCTGATAGGAGCCTGCTCTAATGCAGCTTAGATACACCTTGTAGTATAAAACCCACTGCAGTTTACGAAGCTCTAGTTCATTTAACAGATTGTAGAGAGATTTCGCTGGTATACCTCTCGCTTCTACTTATCCCACTGGATGTAAATTATCCACATAGCCATTACTCATTAATTCGTTTATTAATTCGTAATATATATTTGCTTTTATTTCTTGGTCTTTAGGTATATTTATTTCCCATGGTATAGTGAGCTCTACCAGTATTACACATTTAGTTTTTTTAATATAGGAATATGTCTGGTGTGCATGATAAAACATCTACGTCCATTGGGATTTTATCATGCCTTTGATACGTACCTAGGATCGAGATTGACTTGTTTTGAGTAGAGCTGTATTTTATAAACTTAATTTGTCTTTTACTTGTCAATCCTATTTGGGCTCTAGGTACTGAAAAATAGCCTTTCTCGATTCTAGGTAGTATTATAATATATAAACTTAAATGAGGAAAATAAAAGAAAGCCTTTGTTACTGAAACTATGTAACTACTAAATAGTTGAAAAACTATCATATCCATCATTGATAACAACTGAAACCAATAAAAAGCAGAGCAGATTTCACTTTGTAAACTGAACCAATATTTGATGTGGAAATTGAACAAGCAACATTTGTATGCGAATATTTAGGTCCGGCTTATATAGGCATACATACTTAAAAATAGCTTCAAAAAAGGATAATACAAATCTAGTAGCGCTCAAATGTATAAATATCACATTACGACTATATGTTTTTAAACACGTGTTATATCGTAATTGAGTGCAATAAATGTTACCATACCAACAGAAATAACGAGAGAAAATAGAATTTCCTTATTTATTTACCAAGAAGCGTTAAACTTTTTAAATACATAAGTTACTTGAATGCACTTTAATTATTTCGAATTAAGTAATGATTAGTAAATTTACACATACAACAACTAGAATAATACATACATTCATTAAATATAGAAATAAAAATTATTGTTAATATAAAACAATTGTCTGGTAAACGTTTAATTTAGTTATGCATTATTCTGTAATCTATATTTTATTTATTGTCTTTGCATATACTTACTGCATGTTCTTTATATCTTTTAAAAAAATTGATATTAGGAAAAGCACTTTTAACTAATTGCAGTAGAGTTTTTATTAAAATATAGTAGTAAATAGCAATCGAGCGGTAATACTAAAAACCTTGCCATAACACATTTTCTATTAGCACGGGAGGTAAGTTTCTTGTTTTTACTATTGATTTGTTCAATATACCAAATTCTGATATATATATATATATATTTTAATGAATATATTTTATTATTTTATATTGTAGAGCTGTATTTCGTTTTGAAAGATGTGGTACGATAATGAAAATAAATTGACTCATGAGCGGCACAGCATCCGGTACGTTGTGTGATTTTTAATATAATTAAGAAGAATTTGTTGAAAGGTGTTCAATTCAATTCAGCCTTCGCCGACTCAGGTGTCAGCGAAGGCTTAATTGAGATACAATTGTTGTAAGTAACCATTAGGAACTGGAATATACCAACCAATCATAAATTTACCATCAAGAGAGGTAAATTTTCTTTGACAATCTCCACAAAAGAATGTTCTTAAGTACTGTAATAAATTTTGAATACTTCTGTATTCGCTCCATAAGATGTGGGCAGATACGGGTAGATGTACTTTGAAGTTCGGTTCACTAAACTTAGCATCTGAAATATTGCCTCAAGCAAGCTGCTTGAACTATGATACGACCAGAGCCGTTCCGGAATTGATTATTAGCGTAAAAGCTACCGGATAAAATACGTTGTCTAATCAAAGCGGAAAAAAGTTATTAAAATTAAATTTGGAAGAAAAGAAATTATGTATTATTTATTATGGTCTTAATGGCGGAAATACTGGATCGCTTGGAGTCTGTCAGCCTGGGGTTGGGCCTTACTATTAACAAAAGTAAGACCAAGCTTATGGTAATCGATCGTTTTTCATCAATCCAGCGCACTGACCTACTAGGAGACTATGACACCGTTGACCAATTCCAGTACCTTGGCTCCGTGATCACAAACCGAGGCGGCTGCGAAACTGAGATACGTCGACGAATCGCCATGGCTAAGACAGCAATGACCCAATTGAGCAAAGTATGGAGAAACAGAAACATTACTAACAAAACCAAAATACACCTGATAAGATCACTGGTTTTCTCCATCGCGCTATATGGTGCAGAGACATGGACCCTCAAAGCCGCTGATAGGCAAAGAGTTGATGCCTTTGAAATGTGGTGCTGGCGTCGACTATTGAGGATACCGTGGACAGCCCACCGTACAAACGTCTCTGTACTAATAGAGCTTAAATTGGAAGATACACAGCGGCTGTCTACTACTTGTCTGCAGCGCATTGTGCGATACTTCGGACACATCGCGCGGAGGGATGTAGACAATATGGAGAGACTGATGGTAACAGGGAAGATAGAAGGTAAAAGACCTCGAGGCCGAAGTCCCATCCGATGGTCAGATCAAATATCACGTCAACTGAACATTACTGTCAGCGCCGCAATACATCAGGCATCTGAGCGCAGCAGATGGCGCCGGCTAGTCGACAAGATAGTATAGAGTCACGATCCTCAGCAGTGAGGGAACGATTAAGAAGAAGATTATGGTCTTACATTAACATTGAATGTACTAAAAATATTTTATACTAGCTGTACCCGCGACTTCGTCCGCGTAAAATAGTGACCTTGACCAAAATATTTAATGACCTAACTCAATAAAACCCAAGTATTAATAAAAAAGTTTTATCGTTTTAGCTTCAAAAATGACGACACTTTCATACAATCTTTTATAACTCTTTCAACCCCTTATAAATCAATTTCGTAATATATATTTAAAAATTAGGCTAAACATTTAAATTCAAGCTTCTAGCTTCAAAAATAACGTTTCTTCCATACAATCTTTCATCCCCAATTTCAACCCCTTACAACCCTTTTTCGCTTTAAAAAGTAGCCTATGTCCCTTCTCAGGGTCTAGACTATTTGTGTACTAAATTTCATTTAAATCGGTTTAGTAGTTTTGGCATGAAAGCGAGACAGACAGACAGAGTTACTTTCGCATTTATAATATTAGTAAGGATTTCTATTGAAAAATATTACTTATTATAATTTGATCAATAAACATAAGTTATGCATTTTAATACATAATATTAGTAATATATATCATCGTCATCATTCATCATCAATATAATCCTATATAATTTGTATTCCGCGTAATTTTGTTTTTTGTTTTTGTCATTTATTTCCTTTCGCAGTTATCTCGCCATATTCATTCTTTTCTTGCTATATACATACATCATAATAACCAGGAATATTTTTTTTACTTACAATGCACGACAAGCATAACTCGTTTGCTGACCGAAGGTGGTACTCCATTGCTGGCTATGCAGAGATATGGCCCCATGTGTAATCGAGACACCTTCACTAAGTGTAATACAGCTCCATTTACTGATGAATCTATAAACAAAAAACTTAATACTTGACATTTTCTTATAATAGTTGACACTTAATTTCATGAAGGTCGAACATTTTAAAAATGTTGTCTGTGCGATAATGTTCTGTAAAAGTGGACTTGTCAATTTCACCGAGCGCCTAAGTATATTCGGATTCAACTTTGCAAGTAGCAATACACAAGCCAATTCTCAGATTATCTTTATGAGGAGAGTTTGTCGGAGCTTTTATATTAAAAAGATCTGATTTCGAAGCTACATTCTTTGAGCTAAAACACTTCTTAATTTAGAGTTATAACAAGATATGGTGTCCTAATGACCTCACTATGGGCATCATATAAACCTATTTCTATTACCACTAGGTGACATTGCGATTCTGCGATTCCGACAATAGGCGCTTCGTCGAGATAGTGATAGAGTTTTTAGTGCGTAGGAGTATCATAGTACCCGCTTGTCTCCCCCGGGGCGGACGGCTCTCCATTACGGATTTTCTCCAAGTAAATAAATTGTCTTATGGACAGAAAGAATGGCTATAATGATAAAGAATTATATATATAAAGCGTCTTACTATGAGTATCGCTAAAATTGGTGGTAGGGAGTATATCCCCAAACTCCTTGCGCCACACCACAGAAGGCGTGGGAACACCATGCGCGGCACACCGCAACGTTACATTGGCACCTTCACGAGCCACCTGGTCACTACTCGTCGGGTAGTCCAGAATGTCTGGTGGCACTAACAAACAGAAATTATTTTTCACAGTTACAGTTAAAGTATATTTATGGTGTATGATAAGAATAATGAGTAGTTTTTTTAAATTGATTATGGCAAGCAATATGATATTCTATCTGATGTAGGATCAACTATAGTCTAGACGTTCGTAGCACCGCTTATACATTACTATCCGAGTAGACTTAAGTGTCATGGCTCAATACCCTATAAATTAATTGCCCTATTTCAGCCTTCTAATAAAAGCATAGCTTGTATTGATAACTGTAGCAGCAGCAGTCATGCTCAAAATATAATCTATGGCCTGAGCATGTTTGCTGCTTTCTACAGTTACAGATTAGATTTAGGGTATAGATACAAATAATGAACAACTTTTGGCCTCAAAAGACATGATACTTATAACATTGGAAATTAGGAATAGGTACTTGCTATTAAATAGCGTTTTGAAAGCAGCAGTTTTAATGCAGCGAGTACACGCTAAAATCCGTTCTACTAAGTCGCCAAAGTGCAGTACTAGGTCGTGGCCACCATTGAAGCGAACGATTTCAAAATTGCTAGTCGCCTATACTAAAAGCATTGCACATGCTTAGGAGCTTGTGTAAAATTCAAGTCCTTCTACGTACTTATAGGTTTAAAAAGTGGTGAAAATTTAAATGTCTACTAAATAGTTCCTTTGTTTTCTTATTTCAATAGATATGTACTGATATATTTTCAAATTTCAATATAAGTAATCACAGTCACATTTGTAACCAAAATGCTAATGAAGAGGTAGTTCTGTGGTTACAAACATTTTGTTGATATTAATTGCTTAACAAGCAGAACGTTACTGATTGGATTTAAATTATTCGTCGTTGTCTCAAAGCCAAGACCCTTTCATAATTATATTGAAATCGGAATTAACTTATGACTACAGTACCCTTGAAAATAGAATTGAATTTGATTACGTAAATATAATTTGGGTACTGAGAGTTTAGACAAACAACTATGAAACAACGTCCAAATAAGCAAACGTAATTAAAAATTATGCTTTGTTCAAAAAATAGGTAGCACGCAGAACAAATTTAAAATATACCCCATTCGGAGTAATGAATTGATTATGAAAATTACAAACGGTAAATGTACGGTTTGGTGCACAAATTAGTTAAACTACACGCTCGAGTTGGTAGGTATAGCATACCTACTCACGTAGTTAATAAACTAACAAAGTGAATGTAATTGAACTGAAGGCTTTCAGCGTCTTCATCTGTGTTGATTTCCACGAAACACCCTCTTGTTTATAGCCATATTAGGTATGGCTATAGAACTAAGATTCGGTTCACAGAGCGGTTACTTAGATACTGAAATAAAATATTAAATCTTGGTAATAATTATTGTTTTAATAATATTTAAATGTGATAAATTCTATTTGTATGAATAATAATAATGTCGCGATATTTTGTTTAATTTTTATAGTTCAATCTATTACAGGTACATTTGAATTGATGTCCATATAGTTACACGTATTAAATAAACTAATATTGCAATAGGCATGTCAGAATGACAGATTTAAGTTTTCATAAAGGTGTTGAAAACTTATGTACGTGACAATTCTGTGTTTATCAGAGTGTAGTAACAGTAACAGCCTATTGTTATCAGTTACAAATAAATTCTAATATTACCTATCTACAATTCTATACAGCTTAAAATCAACATATTCTATTTTGAGAAAGGTTTACCTGTGACGGCTCTAAGAATATCTAATATTATAAATGTGAAACTTATAATATTTGTATGTGTATATTTTTAGATGTGTTGATGACTACTCTCAATACAGATTATATGGTTGATATTTGTACACATATGAAACATATCTTGGTCAATATAAATAAATTGCTTTGAGTAATTCACACATCTTTATTTATTCTCGGAGGAAGGTGGACTGTGAATTGGGTGAACTACAACACAATAAGTACCATATAACTGAGAGACGCATTTATAGATCATTATTTGCTATATTTTTTATGATTTCCACAATCTTTTTTATATATATTATCATAATAGTTTGCATATATTTTTTTATCTTTATTGTTCTTCAAATAGTAAAAAAAATAACAAAGTACCCTATTATACACTTATAGTTCAGTCAGTTTTAATATTTGGTTTTAGACATATTGATACATGATATTTTTATATCATTTAACATGGACAAAGTTTTCAGACACATGTTAATATTGGGATAATAGCAGCATAATATCAATATCGAGCTATTTCTATATTATACTTGTATGAGCACAAACCTACGACATCTAAATATGCTGTCTGACTCTTCATGGGGTCAGTGTTCAGCTGGCACATGTACCAGCCACGATCCGACTGCCTGACATCGTGTATGTGTAGAAACCACACACGTCTGTCACTGTGATTCACAGCAATGCGGTGATTCTTCGTTATCACGTGGGTTGCAATTGTCAGGATAGTCTGCGTGTCCACACGTAGCCACGCCACCTATGGGTAAACGAAAAAATATGGCTATAAATCAAATTCAATTTAAACATATTTTATAATTAAAATGATTAATTTTTCATATAGTTCCAAGAAAGACAGAGTTTGTGTCCCATATGACTTACACTGTGCTTTATTTGGCACTATATGACGTTACAAGAGAATAGAATAGAATAGAAATAATCCTTATTCATATAAACTTAATATAAGCACTTTTGAATAGTCACATTTTGTTTATTTTACCACTCATACGGAACATAGCTTCATCACAAGAAGAATGATAAGGAACTTGCGTTGCTCTTTTAAATAATTATTGTTTTAAGTAGTCCAGCACCTCTTGATGGAATGTCATAGGAAACGAGTAAAGAGGGAACTATTTATTAAAAATTTTAAAATCAACAAATTTGATGTGGGTACTATTCAGAGCATACTACATGGTCCTACTATTGATTTTGCTCTGTGTTTGTGTGCGCTGATAAAAGCAATTTAATAAATAGAGCCCTCGCAGTTGGTAATTATTTGATTGTTTATTATTTTTAAGAATTGTTCCGATTAGTTTGTAATAATGGGGTTAACATGTTTGAAAACAAAAACCCCAAAATGAATTAATATTAAAAAAAAAGTAGATTTACATTAACAAGGATTAGGCATGAAATATATTAGATTATTGTTTAATAATATCATATAATATCATATTCATAGAAATACCTAGACTACTATAAAGAAGTCTCCACAGTTTATGGATGAGCTTTTACAATACATTCTACACTTTTTAAAATTTTTAAAGTTATTTATATAATTGTATAAATTACAGTACAAAGTTGTTATAAAAATATAAGTGACTAAGTCGCTAGTATAAATACCTACGTTATTATTTATTAGGTCAAGGTTTCGATCGACTTACGAGACAGTAAGTGAAAAACAAACATTAGACATGGATGGATTTATCGTGATTTAATCTTTGATAGCTTGTCATGGAGTCGAATTAAGTAAGAAAATCAATTGAATCAGTTGCTTTAGGAAAATAAAACTAAAATTATTCATGAAATGGAGGATTAAATCGCGGCCTTTGTTAGTAATAGTAGAATCTTATCTACAACAAAATCTTAATTTGGGCATAGTAACATTTAAACCTATACCTTGAGTTGTTACCATACGTGATTCAGAACATAATAAATGATATGTATAATTGTATATACCTAAAAAATATATGTATATGATATATAAGTTTAACTCTATATAGAATTTACATGTTACTTAGTAACTACCCGCTAAAGTAGTATATACTATACATGTTATAAGTATTTGTCTTTATTTATTAACATTTGAAGGAGAAACAAACAAAGTCAGAGATCGTAAAAACTTGTAACTAATATCAGTTATCTGTGCTAATATTAAGAAGATAATTATAAGTATTAAGAGATTCTGGATTAAAATCTTAGCGACGAATCTTACATCACACAGTTTTAAATATATAAACATTTTTATTGTTGTCTAAAACATACAATATACCGTTACGACTGTTATTATACTAGGGATAGTCACAGAGTACTGCTGTTAAATAAAACAATGACTCTTATTTTCACTGAAATGGCAATTTAATAGAAGGTCATCACAAGATACATTGGGATTTTATTACTATTACTCGTAAAGATATGGTTTAGATTGGATAATAGGTAGGTTGGAAAATCGGTATATTTTATTTCACAAAAACAGTGTACCAATCTATATTTTTTATAGACTCTTCTATCCCCATCAATTGAACTTCGGTCTCATTTAACGGGCAATTGAAATCACAACTGGTTGAGCCGAGGTTTGAACTCCTAGCAGTGCCCTCAGACTGAAGTAATATCCATCAGGTCTAAAGTTGCTATTCAGTTCATAAGTTGTTTTCAGTTTCATAAAGATTGCAGTATACAGCCCTTGTATATAAAGTGTAGTAGTGTAGTATTGTAATTAATAATATAAAAATATATGAAATAAATAAAAAAATATGCATGGGAGGGAATCCAAGTAAAAAAAAGTATCGTCAAAATCAGTTCAATATAATTTCACGTACAACAATACAGTAAAGTTCCACCGAATTCAGAATTTGCTTCTTCTGGCAGTTAGTTAATATAAATCTATTATTTAAGTCGAGCTGTTGTATGATCGATTTAGTACGAAAGGTTAAAATTTATTATTTCAAGAAATATCGCTTGGAGAGCGTTGAGTCAGTACAGTCACAAATTATTTAATTGAGATTATTGTAATTTATCCTTCTTTAACTAAGTTTTTCTAACAAAAATAAAAGACATGGCTATTCTAATATATTGAACTTAAGGAAAGTAAGCCTTATTATAAAGTAAAATGGTATTTTGTCCATAATTATGAAATATTAATTTTATTCAACCAGTTTTCATTAAACAAATGTTTTTCTTGTATACATATATTATAAAATTATTTTTGTATCTGTATAAAAGTAATTTATGTAATTAGGCTATTTAAATTCTTATAAATCATATTACAAATTATATGTTATAATAGCATATAAGAAAATCTATTTTGTTTCATCCAAATTATTGTTATAAAAATACATATACATATGTTATGATATTATTTAATTATTAAATTATCAACTTGACTAACTTTGATGTAATATAAATAATAATATACTAACCCTGTAAGAGCCGAGGTCATTGACGACGCAAGTGAAGACTGCTTCCCTCCCCAATGAGACTGTTAAGTTGTTCAGGCTATCTTCAAAACGTGGAACTTCTGGAACAATCATCATATTTTATGCCACGGTCTGTATAAGTTAATTTGAATATTATGAATATTTTTTGCTAGAGTTAGAATTCTCAATTTTATGAGTCATAATATTACAAAGGGCTGTCCGTTGATATAATAAGGTCCTTATTATTTAGAGTGTTCATTGCGGTTCTACTCCTAAGTATAAAGTAACATTATCTGTGGGGTAAGTACTAAATAGAAAGACACTGAATTTTATTATTCAATAATGAAAATATATTTTACAACAGACTATACGTTTGTTGATTTATATTCACACGTTTAGACTTAAAAATGAAAAGTAACAACGATTATTTCAAAGAATAAGATGAGCGGATACGTTTCCCAGGCACGGCACCTACTAAGTTTACAAAGTTTTATCGCAACATCAACAAAGAATCGACATAGAGACATTTTTTTCTATATACTATATATATTCATGAAAGACTTGCAAATTTTGATACAATAAATCTATATCTATATATATATATCTATACGTAATGTTGATCGTAGTTACTGTATTGTGAAAGTAAACAAACTTGCGATTTGTTATTGATGTACTAATTAGGAACCGACGGCAGAGGTTTACATTGCATTGAAGTTTTATTTTGTTCCATCGTAGTTGTTATATTGAGGCGCAGCAAATTGTTACTATTAACATAACATATTACATTGAATAAAATGAAATTTATTATTAATAGAAGTGATAAATAGTCGATGGTTATCTTATTTAAGTTATATAGCACTTACTTTTAGTCTAACACTCGTACGTATGTTATTGATGAATTATTTTATTTCTATTCTTTATATAATTTAATAATATATTTACGAGGCGCCATAGGGCATAGGAATATCATATAAGAATCTATACCAAGCTACCTGGCCAACATAATAATAAAATACATTTTCCATGTGGTGACACCTACATACACTTAGCAGTGCGTAATGAAGTGTTGTCTTGGAATGTTTGGTAAAGTAACTGTAGGTTTTTAATGAGAAAAATTGTTGTTAGAATAGAATGGAATAGAAAATTATTTATTCAAATAAACTTACATTGAAGTACTTTTGAATATTGCTTATTTTTTTTATTTATCGCTAATTCAGACAGTTGTGTCGTTAAAAAAAGAACAAGAAACATGCGTGTTGCACTTTTTGATAATAAAGAATATTAAGTGTGATCACTAGTTAACATCCCCAGGATGCTATAAGAGGTGATCAGGGTCAAAACACAATACAAATACAATTGTGTGAAAAAGGAAAATGGTTATATATTTTACATATTTACGATGTAACAGTAGCATGCTTAGTTGTCTTCCTGTCATTATAATAATAGATTTTATTTATCACTTGAAGGAACCATGCCAAACCAACCAACCAACTTACATGGAAGTTGTGAGGTGGCAATGGTTTATCATGAGAATGATTATAATAATATATGTATACTTATTAGATTTTAGATAACTAAAATATTAATCTGGAACTTGTGTTGGTAGGAGTCAACGATTTGTCGTACGTTGGTATGTTTAAATTCAATATGTCAAGTCGGTTTGTAGACCATTAGAGAGTTAGTCGAAAATGTGAACCGATACACAAACATCTCGGCATTAATGACCATTGGGGCCTTAAGAGTCGGCCATAGCAGTTAACTACTAATATAGTCTAGTCTAGTATCGTACTAAAGCAAGTATTATGGCCTATAGTTGCCCATAGTGTTTTCATTAGCGGGAATGAACTATTGTTATTACTATTATATTTGTTATTTTCAAAGACACATTAACAGAAACTTGAAAGTGACTTAGTGATTTCTTTTGGACTTAATAATGGTATTATTGCATTTATTCTAAATAATATATTTACAATTTGAAAGGTACATTAGGTACAGACCAGACCCAGTCAGGATAGCACACTAGTGAAAATATTAATATCTATTACTAACATTTCTGTTATATACGCCATCATGGAATAAAATAAAAAAGGAAAGTTCATTCGTTGGCATGTAGCCATAACTCACGAAACTTTATTAAGAAAGTTTTGATTCACTTAATACACTTTATATATTGAAAGTTTACTTTATTACTCACGTTACACATTTAATAATGGGAACTGTATCAATTTTATTAGTAGGTTCTATTTCTAATGTTAGCCAATAAATGTTATCGTAGCCGAGGCGGATGTTCGCACGTATCGTTCCTGCATTTATTGTGCCTAGAGCAAATTTGCTTGTGGGTCGCAATATCCAAGAGAGCGGGCCCAGGGGATCAATCGTGTTTTATTTGCGCACCAGAGTCGATAATGAACGTTTTTTTCTGTGTATCCACTCGTACAATATACTGAAGTGTAATAAAGGCTAACGTCTTAGTAGACCCGTTCTGGCCTCAACTTGCCACTGAAATTTTATTGTCGCATAATGTAATGAAATCGTGCATGTACACTGTCCTTGGTTGCAGTAAAGTCAATCTACTTCCATAGATTTAAGGTTCACATTTCAGAGTTTGTAAATAAATACGGATTAGGAAAAATAAACAATAGATAAAGATATTGATTGCCAATAAAATGTTAGGAAATTTTATGATAGTAGCCGTGAGGTTACTTACACATACAAACTTATATAAAGAAGTATGTACAATAGAACACTCGTATGACTGACGATAGATACTATCTCTATCTATATCCTTGAATATACGTCACCATCAAACGTTTGAAGTATATCACTTAATATCTTTTTTATAGAATATATAAAACATTTTTGACTGAGAACAAAACGGATGTTTAAAAAAAATAATTCATACACATATTTCTTCATTCTTAAAAATTGATTTGATTTTTGATTTGACTTAATGAAAGTACGTAGAGTATATTTTTTTACTTCTCATTTGAGCATTATTAGTCCTATTTATATATACCAAGCTCACTAATTAGATTTTAGATATTACCTACTGATTATAATTTTATACATAGACCTTTTCATTGGTCGTCACTCTATGTTCCATTAATCCGCCATTAAATTCAAAATCTTCAGCTCTTTGCTAAAAATATATCTATCACGTCATAAATATATAAAATACAAACTACAATTTAATATACCAAATATAAACTTTAAACATGGTTCTAACTACTATTTATCTATAAAAGTCGAGAGAATATTATGAAATATTCATGGTAAATGTTATCTACGTTTAACTTCTTCAAAATACTACATTTTCTATAGATAATAAAGTAGTCAAGTAGATATTTAGATATGCATACAGTAATCGGATTGTATAAATATTATTATATTTATAATGTACATTACAAAGGATTCTTAAAGATTTTACATTTAACTCTGAAAATGACAGCGAGTTTGTTTGAAGCCTACCTACAAAGTTCTCATTCGCATAACTTCCCATTTAACATAATTCAAAACAAACCTTAAAATCAGCATGATAATGAGTGAATTGTTAAACATGAACACCTAAAGGTTTGCTGGAGAAGCAACAAAAGATGATCCTTATCGTTTTATGGCTTGAATAGCGAGTAAGCTCTCCGGAGAATTTATGTCACGGTATACCCTCTTCTGAGAGACTCTAAAAGAAAGTTTTAAATGCTTTTATGCCGGCACTTGTATGTGCCGCGGACATAATTTCTTTAATGCGATATTTTTGTTATACCATCATTTTGTTATCGGTCGTATGAACTTCAAATACCATTATATTTATTACCCGCAGTTTGCAACTTTGTAGGTCGGCATCATTATTATTGACATTTACGATTTATGCCTATATGAAACGTTAGTCACTTATATTAGAGATAGAATAAAAACATATTTAATTTTGAGATAACTGGTAGCGATATTTTTTTTTAATATGTAATACTAATATATATATTATAATTGCGAAGGTGTGTCTATCATCAGACAATAAATATACATATTTATTGCTTTTACAGGATTAAACAGGTAAACGGATTTCAATGAAATTTAACAAGAATATTGATTATCTAAAAAAGAAAATACGCTATTTTTTATTTTAAAAAATGCAGACAATAAATGGTGTTATAAATACGAGTAGTGTTATAAATACCTACATTTACCTACTAACTAATGAAACTAACCAAAATAACTAAATTACGAAAGATTTAAGGACTTTTAAAAGTAGAACAATATATCGTCTAAATTTTTACATAATATAATTTAATTTTGCATATACAACTACTTCCAGATGGTTTAAGATTTTCTTTCACAAAAATTGCTGATATCAATTGTAACAGTGGTTACAATTAATATCAACAATTTTGAAGAAGATAATTCTATAATACAAAGTTTTCAAAGTCGATATTAGTTAGGTATTACTTAACGTAACATGCATTTAAAATATTCTTATATAAAACATCGTAATTTATGAGTGGATTGAAAAGTAATACATGACATCGTATACTCGTTATATTAGCTGAAATCGCACTTGACAGGTTTCTTTTAACCATAATATTGTTCTTAACTCAAAAGTCGGACTTGATATAATAATAAAATTATGTATAATATTTAAACAATATCATTTCCTTACTGACAATTCTAAGCAAAAAACTATAATAACATACAACTGAATTTTACACAATACATTACGAGTAAGGTCAAGTCATCATAAAAAGGGACATTTATTTCAATTAAGAATATTTTTGCTATACTCTATTTACAGTTAGAATTAGTGGCATCCTTCTAATTATTCCTAAAATATGTGGATTGATATTTCCATACCCTTGTCATCTCTACAAAAAAAGGATTAGATATTAATAGAAAATAATTTCTCCATTCCACGTACGTAATGTATAGTTTTATAGCGAGTTACCCCACATATAATTATTTCTCCACAAAATTAGTAATTATATAAATTACGGGGCCTGTAGTAAAATTAGATCGCACTTTCAAATTTGATTCACTTCGCTAACCACATCGTGATTAGATGCAACAAGCAAAGCAACGAATCGCGTGACAAGACGGAAAATACTCGCCGACT